ACTGCTATGGTTAGATAATTTATATTATTCAAATAATTTGTTTAAAATACCATCTTTATTTTTAAATATCACTGACCAGAATAAGAGTCGAAACATCGTTTGTTTATTATATATAATTGTAATTATCATATTAAAATATATATAATATATAATTTTCGCAAAAAAACAATATTCGTAATATTGTTCCAATAGCTTATTTTTGATATATTTGATGAAAATATGCAATTTAGTTTAAATATTTTTTTGTAGAAAAAAGAGAATTGGCACGTAGATCGCAAGTAATTCAAAGAGAATTGCCACGACCTGCAGATATAAATATGAATATTTTAAGACCTTACATGGATACACCATTGACCGATTTGCAGAGAGTATGTAATTTTTTTTTATATGAAGATATTGTTAAATTTTTATGAATTAATTTGTTATTTGATGTTTTATATTCTTAGGCAGAAGAATTAATAAAAAGAGAAATGATAACAATGTTGAACTATGATGCGCAACAAAATCCAACACAGTCAAGTCGAAAGAGTACCGCAATATCGTTAGCTCAGGCTCAAGCTTATTTAGATCAACATCCGTATGATATTTTTGAAGAGAACGATCTTTTTAATGTACATCTAAAACATAAATTATCTTTATTATATTTGTATTATTAATGTATCAGCTATTAAATCACTGTTAATATTTAAATTTAGGCTAAAAAAATATTAACCGACGAAATGGCAGTTGTAAAGGAAGGAATGGCACACGGAGAATTGAGCTTAGATGCCTATACTACTGTATGGGAGGAATGTTTGTCGCAAATTTTATATCTCGAAACACAGAAACGGTACACCCGTGCAACGCTAGCCTCAAAAAAAGATAGAGTGGAAGCATGCGAGAGAAAATTAGAAGAGAATCGTATGCATATGACAGGGGAAGCTAAACGCGCTGCAAGGATGGAAAAGAAGTTGAAAGTTCTGACCGGAGGTTATCAAGTAAGTGAAAAACTCAATATTATTTTTTTAGAGTTTAGTATAAAAATTGCTGCCATGCTATATAGCATGGACATGCAATTTTTCTTTTTTATATTATATAAATACCTTGGGATAAATAATTTAAATTCACATTATGAATTTTTGAAAACTTTTCCATGTAACCAAAAATTAAAATTTCTCATTAATTTCAAGGATTCTGAAATTAGAGCTTGATAATACAAATTGAATTAATATATATCATGTATGTTATATAATACTAAAATTAGAAACAATTGACTATATTATAAAAGATATTTATTATAATAGAACTAGATTTTATAAGTTATATAGTTTTAAAAAAAGAGATTTTGTATTTATTCAGTTGAATCCAAATTTACCTGATAAGATTCTAAATTGAAGCGTTAATTATAATTATTGTTTTATTTCCTATATAGACTAGGGCACAGGTGCTAACGAAGCAGTTACACGATTTGTGGGAGCAAATAGAGCAAGCTCATCTTGAACTATCGACATTTAAGTTTTTGCAAACACAGGAAGAAGCGGCGATTCCGAGAAGGATAAATGGCCTCATGGAAGATGTAAACAGGCAGACAGAGCGAGAACGCTCACTACAAATGCGATATGCTCAACTACAAGACCAGTTGCAACAGTGTCGATTAAACGATGAATCGTCTTAGGAACACATTACTGACTTGATGAATATATACAGCATGTAATATGTATTACTTTACCTTATGTAAGTTATAAAATTTATATATCTAAATATTATTTGCTATTAAAATAATCTGTTCTTCTCCCTTTTAGGAATCAAATAGGAATTCAATATATAATGTTCATTGTCTCCACATTAGCTGTAAATGTTAATATTATTTTAAGACTATGTTTGATTTACTTGATAAGAATGTGATGAGAATAATTTTCACATATTGTATTAAATGACAATTCCTACGATAATAAATTCAAATTTGACTTTTTAAATTTTGCGAAGGGGTAAAAATTTATGATAAAATCTTTCCCTTTTATATATATATATGCTGTAAAATAATGTAATAATAAAATTCATGTTGTGTGATAATATGTATTACTAAATGATGAATAGATAATTTAAAGAAGCACTCTTAAAAACAAAGAATAAAATGAATATAGTTAAAAATGTAAATAATATTGTCTTAGGTCTTAGAAACCCTAGATGTGACTTCAGTTTAGCGAGGATCGAAACCTCTAAGGTATAATTACCGACTTCTGGTTAAGTCAGAAAGTCAAGGGAGGGGGTGATCGATCGAGGAATTGTGCGCAGTTCACAAGACAGTTCACTTGTTAGAGGGGCGTGTCATTATTGGTCATTACATAACGCCAAGTCGTCGCCGACAAAATGGCCTAATCAACATAATATGTTGCAAAAAAAGTCCGTGCTATAAACTCGTCTATCTTTTCTGGGGCATAATACACAGCTAGAATACGCATTTGCATATTATGATTCACAAATGTGGGCTCTCATTTAATACGTTCTTATTTAAAACAATTATGACTCGAAAATTCAACAGTAAATATAATTTAAGAGATGGTCTCTGCTTTGAATTTTTAAGAAAATTTTCTAATCATATTCGCATTCTTAGAATCTCCGTAGAATTACAAAGCATGTAGTTATAGATTCGATATTATATTTCTTTTATCCACCCAACATCAACTTTCCATTGTACCATTTTCCACCGGTAGCTTACCCTCGCATCCACCTACACTTATACCTACACCGTGAAAAAGCAATAACGACGCCACTAGTATGTAGCTGATAAATAGCGTTGGCTGCCGGAAGGCAGATGTTAACGTCGTCGTCAGCCAACATAATCCCGTATTGTCGATTGGTCGGTGCGACGCGACTGGCAAACCGGTGTCGAATCAGCGTCGTCGATTCGTCTGGCGCCGCCCATCACCTCTTTGCGCGCTCACCCCCACAACCTCGCGCCGCCGAGGGTGGAGTCGACCAATGACACAGTGGTAACGGCCGTCTGACAACGTGGCCTCCGGGAGCCGCCCCCGTAGTTGCCGATGGCTAACTAACGCTACCCCGCTATAGTCGAGTCAGCCACTCGGCCAGCAAGTCCCCGGGCCGAGTCTAGTCGCTAGCTCGCTGGAATTCCCCACCCTATCTCCCCTCCGTTTCCGCGCCCTCTTATCCTCCACCTACCCCTCCGAAACGTGTAGGCCAACGTGCCAACTAGGGAAGCGGTGGCAGCGGTGGCGGCGGCGGCGGCGGCAGTGGAGGTGAAGAAGAGGTGTTACGCCGTGGATTCGCGTGACGTAACCCCGGTATACGCCATCGCCGTGGCCTCCTCGCCGCGACTCGCGGTCGTTTAGGGATTGGCGTCGGTGTGTTGGTTCGCACTCGGCAACCATCCACCCACCCTATCCTTTCCCACCTCCCCCTCGGCATCCCGTTCCACCGCCCCTCGCGGATACCCACTACCGGACCGTGTCGACCGTATCGGAGAACGACCCATGATTCTCCGTGATGTGGCTACGGACAGGAGAGATAGCTGCTCCGGCAGCCAGTCGGGCAACAACCCCTATATGCGCGTACACGGACGAATAGACACACTCATACACGCGTTCAGATACATATATACATAGACATGGACACGAGTACGCGAGTACGCCCTTCTCGACAAGAGAGAGAGGGTATGAGAGAGAATGATAGAGAAAGAGCGAGCGCGCGAGAGAGAGAAAGATGAGTAGGTACATCGAGGCTCGAAGCCATCCCGTCACGGAGAATGCTTCGGGACTTCGCGCGACCTCCTCGGCGCCGCGTCGGGACCACGGCTTCGGCTATACGTCGTTCTCTGGCGATGTCCGACTTTTGAACAGCTGCGAAGGAGATGGGCACAGGTCAGTCTCCTAAGACTCTTGCGGCATCTCTCTCTCACTTTCGTTTCATCTTAACACGCGGTAAAGGGTTTAGCTAGTGCGATAAGCATTCGCCGCTATAAAAGGGTGCGCGACGTGAAAGTGACTTTGCGCGACGGTTCCCCGCGATTTGGTGATAAATCGCAATTTGTTACGTCTTGAAAAATCGTATATCGCGATCGGTGGTATCTTGAATTCGATATTGTTTCTATTTGTCGTTAAATAAACCCTGTTCTCCAGATTCGAGGGATTGTGTTACCGCATTAGAAAGCAATTATAATAGTGCTTAGAACTATTAATTTCTACAAATCACAAATCTGAAAATTGAGAAATTGTGTATTGCGTTCGCGCGATTAATAGTGTTCGAATATTCTGAATGTTTATATTTATTAAAAGTTAAATCGTGTTTCGCGAGATATTACATTTTATACTGCGATTGAGAGATAATTATAATTAATGATATTTAAATGGATTCAATTGTGGTGCTCGGAATTTGGGGAGTTATATAGCGTGGTTGAAAGGCAATTAACAGTGCTCGAACCCTTATATATTTATGGAACTGCGATTACCGTAATTGAGGAATTATATGCGTCAAAATAATTGAAAATGTTTTGTTTGAATATAAATTTTTAATAGTTAAATTTTTTTAATACTCGTATATCATAATGTTGATTGATTGTTAATAATTAACAGACAATTTGTTTTGAACATGATTTTTTTACAAATAAATGAGAAATGTATTCGGAAAACTTATTCGAATCTCTAACTATTATGTTGATTACGCTTTCTTTATCAGAAATTAGGATAATCAGACATTAAGTGAAAATGTTTGGAAAAATAAGTCATGATTTTTTCGATATGTTTCGAATAACATATGTTTTGAGGATTAATTAGAAAGCAATGTTTTTTTGTTATCTAATTCCATTGAATATATGCTTATAACTTTTACTTTTAATATAAAATATCTTTGTAATTTATTTATTGATCTCTTTTTATTAAAATGAAAATTTGACAGTAAATCTCAATAATTTAAAAATTTCTTATGTAATAGTCTATTATTCTTCGTCTTATAATCTGTTATTAATAAATTTTTCAGGAACTTATTAGGTACTTTCCATTCTTAATAATCCAAATTTACAAGACATTAACAAAATTTCTCCTTAAATGATATGCATGTCTCAAAAATAAAAGCTAGCAAATTTAAGCTAGGATTATTTCTGGAACATGGAAATTATTTTTGATATAAATTAAGTATGGCGGAAGAAAAAATATTTAGACTAGGTTGTTCCCCACCTTTTGATAAACTTCAGCTCATTGTCTCACTCTCTTACTCTCTTATCTCTTTACCCTTTTACTCTTTTGTTATCCAATAGATAAATTACCACATAGTTTATCCGAAGATGCGACAATCGGCTCTTAATCTTCGGGAGGCCGCGGTATATCTGAGAGGTTTTATGTATCTCGGAGAGATACATAAAAAATATGTTTGTAAATATCTTTAAGTATAGCGACACCGACTTATAAATAATATCTATACTACTTATAGGTAAAGTCGCTATTATATGAGTCATTAAGATTCTAACAGTTCATCATACGTGGTCGGACAAGCAGTTGAGATCATATATATATCATACAGAAATTATAAATTTTGATAAATTATACACTGAGAAAAATTTCTGTTTGAAAATGGACAAATTTTTTTTTTTTTTTAGATTTTGATCATATCAATAAAAATTCTGATCATTTCAATCAGAATTATAATAGATTTAATTAGAAAATTCTGATTTGTTCATTTCCAATCAGAATTTTAATTAATCCAATCAGACTTTTTTCCAGTGCAGTTATTTTAATAAAACATAATATTTTTCATGCATTCATATTTTTTTCTTTTTACAAAAAACAACTTTGCAGTATCGATTTAAGATATTTGTATTTCTCAGATACACTGCGATCTCCGATGTTAAATTAAAGACCGCGACCTGCTGAGGATTAAGAAAATATAGAGACTCAACTAAAATACCGTTAAAGTTAATCGGCGGTTCAAATTCTCTTTCAAGATTAATTTAGACATACCATAAACAGCGAACAATATGGCACGATATATAGGATATATAGAAGAAGAAGAAGAAGACGTTGATATACACGACGAAGGCAGTAATCCGTTGGGGTTGAAATAACCCGGGTTGATCGGGTTAGGTTGGTTGTGAGACGCGAAGGCGGTTGATTTCCCAGGACGGGGAAGGAAGGCTTTGGTTGGCTTAGGCATGGCCGTGTTTTTCTTGCCGCGGATCATTAGGACGATTAGGGTTCCTACGAAAAGGGGGAAACAGATTAGCACCGGTGATCTTCTTGCGGCCCGCCCGCTTTTCTTAAACGGAATTTCGCGAGAGTCCTTTAACCGTCGATCTCTTTTTACTTGATAATTACTTCATTGTTGTACATAATAAATCTGTGATAATTTAATCTAGTTATCGCAATGATTACTATATCATAATTATTTAATAGATGTAGCTATTAACTATAATATTAGCTTTGAATTTCTCTATATATATTTATGTATATATATATTTATGTGACACAATCTTTTAGACAATTTTCTTTCCGATGAAATTTAATTCTATAAAATGTACAATATAATGTATAAATATGTGATTGATATACAAGTGTTATTAATTTTTGTGATTCTAATTATAGTAGTTTGGAAAAGTATATTTACTTTTTTAGCTATAAATAGTTTGGTTGAAAATAAACCAACTAGAAGATTCTAACTATATCAATCAGAATTCCGATTACCTCAACTAGAATTTCCTGGGCCGGTTAAGGGCCGGT